AATACAACATTTTGTTGTAGGATGCAGCTAAAGAGTGCTGAGAAGGAATTTTTTACAATATAAAAGAAGACAGGTCACAGACTGATAATAAAAGTTTTTCCTCAACTAACTAGACAAAGAAGAGCAAAGTAAACCCAAAGCAATGTAGAAGGGAGAAAAATAATAACCATAAGGGTAAAATACTAAGAAATCGAAAATAAGAAAATGGTAAAGAAAATCAAAGCAAGAAAAAGCTGGTTCTTTGATAAATTCAATAAACTGAAAAATCCCCAGCAAGATTGACAAAGAAGAAAAGAGAAGACAGAAATCATCAATGTCAGAAATGAAACAGCACATCACCATAGCTCTTGTACTCATTAAAGGGATAATACGAGCTATGATGAAATTATACTCATAAACTCCACAAGTGATATAAAATAGACCAATTCCTTAAAAATCACAAACTGTCAAAATAATACATAAGAAACAGATAAAATATGCCTATAACTATTAAATAAATTGAATTGGTAATTAAAAAGCTCCCACATACAAAAAAATCCCCAAGCCCAGAGGCTTCACTGAAGAAGTTTACCAAACATCTTAAGAAGTAATATGTATTTTACATGTCTTCCAGAAAATAGAAGAGAAGATATTTCCCAATTTATTGTATGAAGCCAGTATTACTCTAATACAAAAACTAGACAAAGTCAAGATGAAAAAAGAACCATAGACCAACATCTCTCATGAAATTTGACAAAAAAAAATATCCTCAAGAAATTATTAGCACATCAAATTCAGCCATGAATTTAAAAAAAGTTATACACCAGGACCAAGCTGCAGCTTTTCTAGGTATGCAAAACTGTTTCAATGTTTGAAAATCAAGCAATGCAAGCCACCATATCATAATAGGCTAAAATATCAAATGATGCAGAAAAGGCGTTTGATAGAATTAAAAACACACCCCTTGATGAAAAAAAAAAAAAAACCAACAATTTAGCAATCCAGAAATAGAGAATTTCCTCAACTTTATAAAGAATATATTTTTAAAAATCTACAGCTGGGGCTGGTCCAGTGGCACAGTGGTTAGGTTTGCACCTTCCACTTCGGTGGCCAGAGGTCCACTGGTTCAGATCCCGGGTGTGTACCTACACACTGCTTGTAGAGCCATGCTGTGGCAGGCATCCCATATATAAAGTAGAGGAAGATAGGTACAGATATTAGCTCAGGGCCAGTCTTCCTTAGCAAGAGAGAGTAGGATTGGAGGCAGATGTTAGCTCAGGGCTAATCTTCCTCAAAAAAAAAAAAGTACAGCTAACAGTATCCTTAACGGTGAAAGACTAACTACTTCATCCCTAAGATTGGGAACAACATGAGGATGTCTCCCCTTACTATTGTTATTCAACACAGCACTGGAAGTTGTAGCAAGCACAGTAAGGCAAAGCAAGGAGAAAAAGAAGAAAGACTGAAAAGGAAGAAATAAGTGTCCATATTTGTAAGACATCTCAAGAAATCTATCCAATAAAACCCCAAAAAACCTGGGGCCAGCCCAATGGCATAGAGAGCCTGGGGTTTGCAGGTTCAGATCCCAGGTGCAGACCTCCACACCACTCATCAAGCCATGCTGTGACAGCATCCCACAAACAAAATAGATTGGCATAGGTGTTAGCTCAGGGCCAATCTTCCTCATCAAAGAAAAAAAAAAAAAAAAAAACCCTGGGGCCGGCCCAGTGGAGCAGCAGTTAAGTCTGCACGTTCCGCTTCTTGGCGGCCCGGGGTTTGCCAGTTCCGATCCCAGGTGCGGACATGGCACCACTGGCAAAAGCCATGCTGTGGTAGGCATCCCACATATAAAGCAGAGGAAGATGGGCACAGATGTTAGCTCAGGGCCAGTCTTCCTCAGCAAAAAGAGGAGGATTGGCAGCAGATGTTAGCTCAGGGCTAATCTTCCCCAAAAAAACAACCTTCATAGATTTAATGTGACTTCAGCAAGGTTGTAGGATACAAGAGCAACACAAACAAATAAATTTTGTTTCTAGATAACAAATGTGGAAACTGAAATTAAAATACAGTACCATTTAAAATTTCTCCAGAGAAAATGAAATACTTCAGTGTCATCCTGAAGAAATATATACAGGATCTGAATGGTAAAATTACAAAATGCTAATGAAGGACATTAAAAAATAGACCAAATAAATGGAGATACTGCATTCATGGATTGGAAGAATCAACAGAATAAAGATGTCAATTCTCCCCAAATTGATCTGTAGGTTCAACACAATGTCTATCACAATCCTATCAAGGTTGTTTGTATACATAGAGTAGTTTAGTATAAAGCTTATATGAAAAAGCAAAATATCCATAGTTTAAACGTCTTGAGAAAGAAGTATAACACGGTAGGAATCACTGTAGTCTGCATAAAGGCTTAATATGCAGGTAAACTAAAGAAGACAGCATGACAGTAGCAGAAGGATAGACACAGAGAAGAAGTGAACAAAACAAAGAACTCAGAAATACATCCACACAAATATGCCCCACTGACTTTTTGACAAATATGCAAGAGAAGTTCAGTGCAGAAGGATACTATTTTCTATAAATGGTGTTGGAACAATTACACATCCTTAGTCAAAAGAAAAGCTTTGATCCAAATCTCACTCCTTATATAAAATTATGTCAAAGTGAAAATACAATTAAATGTAAGTAAAACTGTAAAACTTTTAGAAGAATCTTGTGGACGTAGCAATACATAGAGTTCTTAGGTTTGATACCCAAACCACCATTCATAAAAGGAAAAGGTGATAAATTAACTCTCATCAAAATTACAAATTTCTGATCAATGAGAGATTTTATGAAAAGGATGAAAAGACAGCTTACACACTGGGAGAAAATATTTGCAAACCACATATCTGGCAAAGGACTTGTGTTTACAACATAAAAATTGCTCAAGAATCAACAGTAAAAAAAAACAACCAATCCAATCAGAAAATGGGTAAAAGACATTAGTAGACATTTCACAAAAGGTGACAAACAAGCACATGGAAATATGTTCAACATCATTAGTCATTAGAGAAAGCGAATCAGAATTACATGAGCTATCACTACACATCGATAACTATGCCTAAAAAAAAAAGAATTAAATAGTGATAACACCAAACGGTGGCAAGAATGCAGACACTCTTTCTCTCTCATACACTGCCAGTGGAAATGTCAAATGGTACAGTCACTCTGGAAAGTAATTTTGTAATTTCTTCTAAAAAATAAGTATACACTTACCATATGACCTGGCAATCATATTCCTGGGCATGTATCACAGAAAAGCAAAAATTTATATTCATGCAACATATTGTACACGAACGCTCATAAAAGCATTATTTTTAGTAAAGACAGGAAACAACAAAAATATTTCTCAACAGTTGGAGTGTGAGAACATCTAAACTTGGTGTATTTTTGTGGGAAAGTGGTTGTTTATGAATTTAATTTTTTCAATAGATTTCAAATGAATTGAGATCTTCTCTCAGTTTTGTAAGTTGTCCTTCTGAAGAAGTTGTGCATTTCATCTAAATTATCACGTTTATTGACATAAAGCTTTCAAATTACTCTGAAATGTCATTTTATTCTCTGCATAACTAGTAATATCTCCCATCACTCCTAATATTGATGGAATTTATTTTTGTTCTAGATAAGTCTTACCAGAGTTTAACAATTTTAGCAGTCCTTTTAAACATCTAAATTCTGGGCTTTAATTTTTTCTATTCTTTTTCCTTTTTATGTCTCATTGATTTCTGTCCTTATCTGCATTATTTCCTTCCTATACCATGTTTTAACCCTGTATAGACTATTGGGTTTTGCATTGGAAGGCAATTAATTTACTGGTAACCCTCCTTAATCCTCTTCTTGCTGGGTTTTGGGCTTTGGGATGTAGAATGGGGATGATAAGAGTATCTCTTACTCTGGAGCTTGAACCTTCCTCCTAAGGATTAGCCTTTCTTGTCTCAGCTGAATGCCTGGGGTTTTAGCAAGGTCAGTCTACTCTGCCTGGGTTGAAACTCCAACATTTCCCAATACTGTTTGACATTTAGTATTATCTCCATTTTACCCTCTGTCCTTCAGTAGAGTCTTACCCACCACATATGCAGCCTAATCCTTAATCAAGGACATAAGGACAACTCCTCTCCTCCCCCAAAAACATATATCTGATAGCCCCTCTACATCTCTGGTCCCATGTCATGCATGTTCTGGGTGCTTCAGGAGCTCTGAACTTCAAACTCAGAGTTCTACTTGGTTCCACCTCTCTGTGCTTTGGTTAAGACATTGTCCCCAGTCAGAGGGCTGAGTCAAATGTGAGACTCACTTTCTGTGCCTTCTTTCTCACAGAGAGAAAATTTCTGAGTACCTATTGTCAAATGTCTGAAAACAGATGCCTTATGTATTTTGCTCTGCTTTCTACTTGTAGATGGTGAGAAAGACAAATGTCGTACTAGTTACCATATTTTAAATTTCATTCTCTCTCAATTGCGTGTCGAAAGCTGAGGTGATGTCAAAAGCTCGGCCTTTTGCACCAAACAATTAGCCAAGTTGTGAATATAAAGGAAAAGTTCTTGAATGGAATTAACATTGCTACTCCAGTGAGCACATGAATGATAAGAAAGCCCCACAGCAACAAAGCAGTACAGCAATAGAATCAGACCAACCACTTGCATCATTTTTTTCTTCTCAGTAAACTGTCCAACAAACTTCTGGATTTTTCATCTGTCAGGCCCTATAATTTTATTTCAGTTAATTCCTTCCTACTAATACTTTCAGATATTTTAAATTACCTCTTTCAATAAGTGATTCTTGAGTTTCAAATTGTAAAAGTAGTTATTCTATTCAATATGTTTTCATAGTAACTGGCACATTATTTTTAGGTTTGTGATCTGTTTGCCCAACAGTTCTGTGGGATATAAAGCATTCTATCTCCTCCCACCAATGGCACCTTAACCACATAAAGAATGCAAATATGCACAGCATAAAATAAATGTTACCTTTATAAATGAAGAATCTGGATACAATGTTCCTGATTTGTTGTATGAATACACCAGGAAATGAGGGTCTAGAAATGACCTAATTCAACCAAAGTAATGACACTTCATGTAATAATATCATCAATAAAAATAACTTTCAGAATCATGAAATTAAACAAAGTTTACTTTCTATTTTACAAGCTCAAATATCCAGAAATTAAACAGACCAATTTCACCATGACCTAGCTTGCTTTCTGACAGCATATTGTATATATAAAAAATAAAAAACAGTATAACCAGATACCAGTATGGACTTACATACAATAAAAACCAGGGCTTCCTGACTGCCACAACAAAGTTTTCTTTTAGATTCAACCACCAATAAATTTCACAGCATAGATATGTTAGTTAGAATTTGCTAACAGGTGGCTAGGGATTGATAAAACCAAAAAACATAAGCTTTATTTCCTTCATTTTCATAAAGTTATGCTGTGGTAAAAAGAACTGTCAAATTATTACTGTCTTAAGACAACAATAAATGTTCTTCACAAGTTTGCTGCAGGCTCAGCTACACACTGCCTTCATTCTAGAACCTAGAGAAAGCCATGGCCCCTCTCCAGAACATACCTTTCTTGTAGCAGAAGGAGAAAAGAAACTGTAAAAGTACATAATAGTTCTTAAAGCCTCTGTTTAGAAGTGGGATATTAGTGTTTTGCTCAAATTTCATAAGCTAAATGATTTCTGTAGACAAACGTGATATAAACATGGTATAGAAGTATAAAACTTCTTACAAGGAAGACAGCGATTATTACGGAACAATCTAAACCGTTATTTATTGTAGGGAGACTGGGATTTCTCAAATTCCAAACACCAAGAGGCATTTCGAGGCCAGAGTCAAAAAGAAACTAGCGTATTCAGAGTGCTTTCTTTCACCACTATAGGCATACCTCGTTTTATTGTGCTTCACTTTACTGAACTTTGCAGATATTGCGTTCTTTGCATATTGAAGGTTTGTGGCAACCCTGCACTGAGCAAGTCTATCAGCACCATTTTTTCCAACAGCATCTGCTCACTTCGTGTCTCTGTGTCACATTTTGGTAATTCTCTCAATATTCCAAACTTTTTCATTAGTATTATATTTGTTATGGTGATCAGCAATCAGTGATCTTTGATGTCATTCTTGTAATTATTTTGTGATGCTACAAACTGCACCCATATAAGACAGTGAACTTAATTGATAAATCTTGTGTGTGTTCTGACTGCTCCACTGACCAGCCATTCCCTCATCTCTCCCCCTCTCTCTCCTGGGGGCTGAGACACAACAATATTGAAATGAGGCCAATTAATAACCCTATAATGGCCTCTAAGGGTTGAAGTGAAAGGTAAAGTCGCATGCCTCTCACTTTAAATCAAAAGCTAGAAACGATTCAGCTTAGTGAGGAAGGCATATCAAAGGCCAAGATAGGCCAAAAGCTAGGCCTCTTGTGTCAAACAGCCAAATTGTGAATGCAAAGGAAAAGTTCATGAAGGAAATTAAAAGTGCTGCTCCAGTGAACACACAAATGATAAGACGGCAAACAGCCTTATTGCTGATACAGAGGAAGCTTTAGTGGTCTGGATAGAAGATCAAACCAGCCACAACACTCCCTTAAGCCAAAGTCTAATCCAGAGCAAGGCCCTAACTCTCTTCAATTCCGTGAAGGCTGAGAGAGGCGAGGAAAAGTTTGAAGCTAGCAGAGGTTGGATCATGAGGTTTAAGGAAAGAAGGTGTCTCCATAACATAAAAAAGCAAGGTGAAGCAGCAAGTGTTAATGTAGAAGCTGCAGCAAGTTATCCAGAAGATCTAGCTAAAACAACGAAGGTGGCTACGTTGAACAATAGATTTTCAATGTACACAAAAGCCTTATGTTGGAAGAAGATGCCATCTAGGACTTTCACAGCTGGAGGGGAGAAGTGAATGTCTGGTTTCAAAGTTTCAAAGGACAGGTTGACTCTCTTGTTAGGGGCTAACACAGCTGGTCACTTTAAGACGAAGCCAGTGCTCATTTCCCATTCTGAAAATCCTGGGGCCCTTAAGAATTACGCTAAATCTACTCTGCCTGTGCTCTGTAAATGGAACAGCAAAGCCTGGATGACAGCACATCTGTTCACAATATAGTTTACTGAATATTTTAAGCCCACTGTAGAGACTTACTGCTCAAAGAAAAATCTTTTCAAAATATGACTGCTTATTGATAATGCACCTGGTCACCCAATAGCTCTGATGGAGATGTGCAACAAAATAAGTGTTGTTCTCATGCCTGATAACACAACATCAATTCTGTAGCCCATGGATCAAGGAGTAATTTTAAATTTTAAGTCTTACTATTTAAGTAATACATTTCATAAGGCTATAGCTGTCATAAATTCCTTTGATAGATATGGGCAAGTAAATTGAAAATCTTCCAAAATGGATCCACTGTTCTAGATGCCATTAAGAACATTCATGATTCAGGGGAAGAGGTCAAAATATCAGCAATAACAGGAGTTTGGAAGAAGTTGATTCCAGTCCTCATGATGACTTTGAGGAGGTCAAGTTTTCAGGGGAGGGAGGAACTGCAGAGGTGGTGAAAATGGCAAGAGAACTAGAATTAGAAGTGGAGCCTGAAAACATGTCTGAATTACTGCTATCTCTTGACAAAACTAACTGATGAGGAGTTGCTTCTTATGGATGAACAAAGAAAGTGGTTTCTTGAGATGGAATCTACTCCGGGTGACCATGCTGTGAAGACTGTTGAAATGACAACAAAGGATTTAGAACATAACATAAACTTAGTTGATAAAGCAGTGGCAGGGTTTGAGAGGATTGGCTCCAGTTTTTACAGACGTTCTACCGTGGGTAAAATGCTATCAAACAGTATCACAGGCTACAGAGAAATCATTCATGAAAGGAAGCATCAATTGATGAGCCAAACTTCAATTGTTGCCTTATTTTAAGAAATTTCCAAAGCCACCCCAACGTGCAGCAATCATCACTGATCACTCAACAGCCATCAACACCAAGGAAGGACCTTCCACCAGCAAAAATATTATGACTCACTGAAGGCTGAGATGATGGCTAGCACTTTTTAGCATGAAGTATTTTTTAATTAAGGTACACACTTTTTTTAGATATAATGTTACTGCATACTTTATAGAATACAATATAGTGTAAACATAACTTTTATATGCTCTGGGAAATCAAAAAATTTGTGTGAGTCTCTTTATTGAATATTTGCTTTATTGCAATGGTCTGGAACTGAACCTGTAATATCTTTGCGGTATGAATGCACTTCTTTTTTCATACCTGCTTTCTTTCCTCTCATTCTTGACAACTTTCCCTATTCCTCAATGCAAATAAAACTAGAGAGCTTCCCAGAGAAAAACTGCTATTTATCTGAATGGCCTGGGTTGGTTTAGGTGCAAGTGCCTGGAACATGAATTCTGGCACAAGGGCAGAGACACCTTTTAATAACTGTGAGCATGTAAATGGAGATGGTGGAAATAAGAATCCTGAAGCAGTTCCAAGGAAAAGGAAACTAGAAGTAAAACACCTAAAAGATATCTGGCAAGCATAAGAAAAAGGATAAAACTTTAGTTTGCAAGTTTATTTGCCCAGGGCCCTCAAAAGTTTACTATTTGCTTCTACATGAAGCAAAAAGTCTGGCTTAATCAGTGAAGTAATAAAAATACAAATGATCATTCAAAGAAAAACAACATCCAATGTAGGAAAAATGAACAACAAAATAAAGAAGGCAAAACTTGAAAGTTAGATCCTAATGAAGTAGCATTGATTGAAGAAAACAATCATAATTTTAAGAAAAGTCAATAAGCTGCCACAAGGAGATCATTTCAAGAGCAAAAGGACACTCTGACAGCTAAAAGGACACATGACAGCTAAAATTAAACAATTCAGTAAATGTGCCGAAGAGAAATTGCTTACTGAGAACAGAATTAGAGGCCTAGCCAAAAAAGAGAACAAATAATGGTAAAACACATAGCAAAAATAAAGATTTGGAAATAGTTATACAAAAAAACTATAATATAGAGGGCATGACCATAAGACCCAGGATGAATCTATAGATTTTCCATAGAAAAAAAATGTGTAGGAATTCAATACTAAAATGAACAGTTAAGGGACTTTTGATCTATCAGGGATGATTAATACACCACACACACACACACACACACACACATTCACGCATGCACATAAAACATACTGGAAAATTCACTTAAGATGTACTATATCAAATTATAAAAATTTATAGTAAAGGAAATGACTCACAAATTATACACATTGCCTAGATGTTATTCACTTATAAAAATAAAAAGGACATTTGCAGATGTGCACAGTTTCAGAAAGCTTGCTGTCTGCATAGCCTACCTGAAGAAAATAATCTGAAAGTGTTCTAACTAAAAAACACCTGAGTCAGCATAAAATTGCAATTAAAAGAATAAAAAGGAAGCAGCGATAAAACTTGGAAAATGCAATATAGTTGTTAAGTAAAGAAATTGAAAGCATTGAATTTATATCTTAAATGTAAAAATAATTTTAAAAAATACTGTGGGAATATTATGAAATAAATTCAGGATCTGAAAGAACCAGACAGGAATCTGAGAACCTATAAAAGAAAATATGAATATAACGATTACGCGGAAATTTAATTTTTATAACAATAAATCCCCTTAACAAAGGATAGGAAATGCCATTTTATTGTATATTAATATAGATTTCACTGGTTATTAATAACATGTAATATCTTTTCAAATGTTTACTGACCATTCTAATTGAATTGCCTCTCCTCAGATTTTATTTTTAGCTTTTGAAATTTGAGCAAAACACTAGCATCCAACTTGTAAAAAAAGGCTTCTACAATTATGTGCTTCTACAATTTCTTTTCTCCTTCTGCTACAAGAAAGGCATGTTCTGGAGAGGGGCCGTGGCTTTCCCTAGGTTCTGGAATGAAGGCAGTGTGTAGCTGAGCCTGCAGCAAACTTGTGAAGAACATTCATTGTTGTCTTAAGGCACTGAGAATTCCTTTCATCCATTAATTAACAAAAATAAGTGAGTAAAGACACTTATTTTGTTGAGAATGTAGAGAACAGAAACACCTTGAATTGCTGATGTGAGTGAAAATTGGTATAAACCCTTTGAAGAAACAAATTGGCAGTATATAGCACACTTGAGAATTTTCTTATTTATAGCCCATCAATTTCACTGGTGCCCACAAAGTCATGGCAAGGAGATCCACAATACAGCTTTTCTTGCTGTAAATACGGGTGGATAAATAATAAATGAAATATATTCATTTGATGGCAAATACGCATTTAAAAGAAAACTCATTTTGCACACATCAGTATGAATGAATTTCAAAATATAATATTACACAAAACGTTTCACAAGAAACAATCACAAAACCACAACCACATATAATAAAGTGATAAGTATCTATTGCTCATACTCCTAGGTCTTGCTTGAGTAGCCATGGTAGTTCGGCTCTGCCAGGCCAGGCTTGCCCAATGGTTTGGGATTCAGCTGAATGGTGGCTGATCTAGGGGTGATTAGGGCACCTGGCTGTGCTCCACCTATCTCTATCTTCCATCCAGCTAGCCCAAGCATATTCTCATGGGAACGGCAGACAAATAAGATGGAAAGCAGAAAAGCACGAGAGCTTTTTCAAGCCTCTCTTTCAGCCAAGTCAGCTAGCATCTCTTTGGCCACACTAAGTCATATAGCCAAAGAGGTCATATAGCTACATAATCTGTGAGACCCAAGGTAAAATGAAAATGTGAGGCCTCTTGTTCAAAAGTATTAATCATCCCAGGACAGTATAGCAGAACATTAAACCAAGTATAGGGCCCTTCTAACTATGGGGTCCTGTGGAACCACCCACCCATGAAGTTGGCCTTTCATAGATAAACTCAGATCCAAGGGCTGGGGAGTGGGGAGGTTGGAAGATATGTATACAAGCCACCTCTTGATGATAGGAACTCAAAGTTATATGGTAAAGAGTGAAGAAACAGGGACAGGTAAAGGATTGGGGTCACTTTTGTGGTGCACCATATTAAGATAAATAGTATAAAGCAATATACAGTATTGTGTCATTTATATCTAGTTAAAGTAATATTCAAAACATGATTTTTATTGATCTCTAAGTATATGGATGAATGAAGATAAAATATGAAAAATAATATGGGTGAATATCATAATTATGATTAGCACTGGGTGCTAATCATATGAGTGAGAGAATTGAATAGGTCTGGGCATGGAAATAATAACTATTACTTGCCATGTATGCTTTAAAAAAAATATGTAGGCAAAATGCTTATACGTATATCATCCGTGGTAAGAATCTAATTGTTTATATTATTCTCAGAAATTCTCTTTTCTATTTTTAATCATTCAAAACAAAAAAACCAATATAAAAATATTGGGCTAATATAAGCTAGGGACTTTGGGTAATAATGATGTGTCAAGGTAGGATCATCAATTATAACAAACATATCAAACTGGTGGGGGATGTTGATAATGGGGGAGGCTGTGCATGTGTGGAGGAAGGAAGCATATGCGAAATCACTGTACCTTCCACTCAATTTTGCTGTGAATCTAAAACTGCTCTAAAAATGAAAGTATATTAAAACAGTAATAATAAATAATAACGGGAAAGCCTCATACAGGAAAATTCAAATAGCTGATAAATGTTTAGAGAAATTATTTAAGGAAGCGTCAACTGATATTAAGATGAAATATAATATTTTAACACATCATGCATGATTTTGGAAACCTGAATTGCTACTGTCTTTTCAGAAAATAACTGGCAATATTGCCCCAAATCTTAACATACTATAAAATAGAAGTAATAAAGAATGCCTATCTTAGAGGTTATTGTGAAAATTAAATCGGTTACTACATGCAAATTGCTTAGAAATATGCCTGGAAAATGCTATGTGCACATAAATGTCAATTACTTTAGTAGTTTTTGTTATTATTATTATCATCACTATTATTATTATTCATACATCTTGATCCAGATGTATCTATTTCTTGATATCAAGCCTACAAAATAAAATACCTACTATGTAAGAATATACATACAAGGATGTTTATTTCAGGACTCTATAGTGACAATACCTGGATATAACCTCAATACCTATCAATATTACTTACTAGTAAATGTTATCTATTAAAGAATAAGTTATAATATATACATAGAGCAAAAAATGAACACCATTAATAAATAAGACCTTCCAGTTGCAAAATACTATTTCCATTAGTGTAAAAACAAATTTTTTTGGTAGGTTTCTATATGTTTTATTTAAGGGAAAGGTGAAATTTAGAATAGAAACTTGTGGAAAGATATACACAAGGTTATTAATATTGGTTTCCTCAGAGTGTGAAAGTAAAAACTAGAAAAGTTGAGAAATTAAAAATATATATTATGGCAAAATGAGAAAAACTTATAGTGCAATATCAAGTAAAATGTTTAAAATCATATGTAAAATGACATGAAGACAAACAAAACAAAACATGGACAAATAAAATTATTCCCCTAATTGTTTCAATCATGGTTATATTTTAAGGAGTTACATAGAATAATTTTCATTTATCAGGTATACATTAACATTTACATCACTGAATTAGAATTTGGTTCGAATAGTAGATTTAAAATATCAAGATGAAGACTTGAAATTCTAGTCTCACATGAATCACAAAGTAGATATAACAAGATAAATAAACATAATATTCATGCTCTTGTTTAGGCTTACTTTAAGGAAGTGACTGTAAAAATTAAGAAACTAAAAACAACTGCATGAAAAGAAGAGTGGCAACTTACTGTTTCTTAAGATGGAAAGTGTATATTTTCCCATCAATTTTGATGGCATAAGCGACCTGAAGCAAAGTATTCAGAGAGAAAGAAATTATTAGAAATTCCAATTCTTAAAAATCAAAAGCCGTAATTTTTAAAATGTATGTACTCTTTTGTATAAATAGATTGTATCATGCATGTCTCAAAATTATATAGACATATATAAGTATATTGCAACATTCCTCCATCTTGGAATATATGACAGAATCACTGATAGTCAAATTTAAATAAAATCAAGGAGTCTAAATCAATTTCAAAACCAAGAGCATTAGCCATTAGCATTTATTATCATAATCAAGTTATATTTAAAAATGGTTACATTTAGAAATGCTGAGTGATCTCTGAAGAAACTCTAATTTTATGTATTATATTTTTCTACTTTGCAGTTTCTAGCACAAATAAATTGAAACTTAAATAATACAGCACAAGTCCCCTTTTAAGATTAAAGGAAGTATGCCCAAGCTGTCGGAAGTTCTACCTACAGACAGCCTTCACCTCCCCGTCCCCTTTAGGAATTGTCTCAGCTAAAGAAGGTCAGCTCACATTAAGTCACAACTTTCTGGAAAAGCCCACGTTCAATGAGAAGCCCCCTCATTCCAGCTCCAGATATTCCGACGGGGCATGGCTGCTTCACATTTTGTTGAGCCTCAATTGAGCTTCCTTCTCCCCATTTCTGCTTCCTTCCCTGCCCTTCAACAGGGTCTCATCATAAGGGCATACCATAATAAACTTCCTTCACAAGAATCTTCTCAGAGACTGCATCTCAAAGAACCCAATCTGTGACACCACCATAAAACATACGCGTTCATTATTGTCTACCATATAGTTAATTCCGGTGAGTGTCCCACATTTGCAGAGAATGTGAATTTTGTCAGTAGGCGCAGTTTTCTGTGTAAGTCATTTTAAACGTTCTAGTTTTCAGTCTTCTGTACCTTACAGCTGTTGAAAAAGTTGTGTTGGCATCTCCCAAAATTATCGTGACATTGTTTCTTTCTCCTTTTAATCTGTAGTTTTTTTTCTTTACATATTTTGGAGCTTTGTTGAGTGCAGACATATTTAGTATGGTGATATTTTCAGGATAAACTGATCACTTTATCAATAAAAAGGTACCTTTTTTCTCTAGAAGTGCTTCTTACTTTAAATTCTACTCTGATATTGGTATAGTTGCACAAGCTTACTTTTGATGTTTTCACTTTTTTATTTTAAGATTTGATTCATTTTTATGTAATAAGTAAGTTTTTTTGAGAGGTTTTCACTAATATAAAATTTAGAGATGGATTCTGAAGGATAAAAGTAAGCTGCAATTTTCAGGGATTTACTAGTATAAAGATGCCTTCCAAATCTTATTTATTTCACAATAGGTTCTGCAACCACCTTTGTATATATGCAAACTATATAGAAATTAAACTAATTTAAGAACTACATCTTTTGGTATTCCTCCTTTATTCTATTGATTGAAAATAAATCTGGGTAATTTGCCTTCTATATTCTGGATATTGGGTAATGGCATCACCATATACCCAGAATTCCAGGCAGAAAGCTGATCTATGTAAGAGCTGGTCTGTGTCTCACCTTTTAAACTCACTTTTTTTACATTTCTTTTTCCTGATTTTTTTATATTGCAAATTACTGAAAAAATGAAAATAGGCACCCCTATCGTACTCTGCCCCAAAGGTGGAATGCTGTAACGTTTAGAGCATTAAGTATGACATTTGTTATAGTCTGCTTTTGTTAGTGCTGCCGTTGTTGCTTGGCTCTGTTTAAATCACACTGAGGCTGCTCTCTTCTAAAGTGAGGTACTATGGTGCATCTGGTGAGTACGTGTGCGTGAATGTGCAAGTAATTTTCTAAAATGCTTTCTGGATGCATTTGTTGATTTCTTTTAATATGTCACTGTGGTGAGTTAATTTAATGAATTTTTCTAGTATTACGACATCCTTCCACAGAGGTAAAACCTATTTGGTCATAATGTTCTAAAATTATTTGCTATTTTCACTTTTCAAAATATTTTTGTAAGTGAAAGAACCTATAATTTTCCTTTCGCAAGCTTCTTTGTCCTCTATGTGTTAAAGTTACATTAATCTCTTAAAATGATATTAAATGATCTAAGGGATTAGTTAATATGTTCCATTCTCTGAAAAAGATATTTATCATCTTTCCTTGAATATTGTCTAAAACCGTAAAACCATTTGACTAGCAGGATTTTGTGGGCAACTTCAATTATGAACTTCACGATTATAAGTATAATCTATAACCAGAGATTATATTTCTTCCTGAGTCAAAAGAAGCTTATTAGGGGAGGAAAAACAAATATCAAGACAGTAAACTTATAACAAACCACATCAATAATTACAGAAAAGGAATTTGATAAAAATTCAATATCCACTTTCCGTGTTCTACATGTGCAAATTAAAGTCAAGGGGACTATTAGTATTTTAAGCCTTCTATATCCCTGTTGATTATCTGTTTGAATTTTTTATCATTTACTGAGAAAGGATTTTTTAAATCTCTAATTATAATTGTGATTTGTCTACTTTCTTCACTTCTATAAGTTTTTGATTCATGTTGTTCCATGCACTCTTATTGGATGCAGTTTTAGGATTATTATGCTTTCTTGATAAATTAAGCTATCTATCATTACAAGATGCCACTACTTCTCCTGGTAATATCCTTGTTCTACAATATACTTTGTCAGATATCAATTTATCCATTCTAGCTTCCTTTTGATTTGGATTTTAATGAAATACAGTTTTCCATTCTTTCATTTTAATCCATGCATGTCCTTCATTTAAAGGATATTTCTTGTAGATAGCAGTCAATTTTCCCACCCAATCTGACAATCTCTGACTTTACTTGCAAAGTTACACGGATTACTTTTAGTGAAATTCATTAGAATATAAGCCTATTCTCTTGCTGTTTGTCTTGGCACATCCTATCTATTCTTTCCCCATTTTTTTTCTTTTCCTGTAGCTTTGGATTGCATTTGGATATATCAATATAAACCTATGGTTTTGATATAAATATACATATATTTAGACACATGCACATATGTGTGCTCACACACCCTACATCTGTGTCTGTGTGTGTACACACACATATTTTCTGGCTCCCATTTAAACTAATGGGAAAAGGATGGCATTTCAAATAAATGGACTTAATACATATTGACCCTTGACCCCTACCTCATATCATAAAAACATTCAGAAATGATCACAGACATAAATACCAAAACTAAAACTATGAATTTTCTGGAAGAAAATATAAGAGAATATTTCCATGACCTTGTGTCAGCAAATAATTCTTAAATAAAAGATAAAAAGAATAGAGCCAGCCCTGACGGCCTAGTGGTTAACATTTGGTGTACTCCTCTTCGGCAGCCCGGGTTGGGTTCCCAGGCACAGAACCACACTACTTGTGTCAGTAGCCATGCTGTGGTGGTGGCTCACATAGAAGAACTAGAAGGACTTACAACTAGAATATACAACTATGTATTGGGGCTTTGGCGAAGGGAAAGAAAAAGAGAGAGGAAGATTGGCAACAGATGCTAGTTCAGGGTAAATCTTTCCCAGAAGAAAAAAAAAGGTAATTATAAAAGAAAAAAGATAGAATAGCCATAAATAAATATTTTATTAATTGGACACCATCAAAATTAAAAACTGTTGTTCATCTAAAGACACTATTAAGAAGGTTAAAAGACAATTCCTAAAGAATATTTGCACTTCATATCCAATTGGCCCATCAACATTATACAAGTCACTCATCATCAATATTCACCATGGGATGCCAAATAAACCAAAAAGGATAAAGGGACCGATTCAGAGGCACAGCAGTTAAGTTCACATGTTCCGCTTTGGTGACCCTGGGTTTGCTGGTTCAGATCCTGGGTGCAGACCTACACACTGCTTGTCAAGCCATGCTGTGGCAAGTGTCCCACATATAAAAAGTAGAGAAAGATGGGCACAGATGTTAGCTCAGGGCCAATCTCCCTCAGCAAAATGAGGAGGATTGGCGCCGGATGTTAGCTCAGGGCTAAATCTTCCTCAAAAAAATGATAGAGAAAAAGGAATCACAGTAACAAAATTGTAAACAACAAAGGATTGAGAATGCCACGTGTTAGTGAGGCTATGGAACAACTGAAATTCCCATTCACTGCTGGTGGACATGAAGAAAATAGTGGACAGTGGACAAATAAAATAGGAAACTATTTTAGGAAACTATTTACTAGATTTCTGTAAATTAAATGTGCACCTACTCTATAAAGCAGTATTTCACTACTTGAAATACCCACATGAAAGCAATATCAACAAGATACTTGTTTCTTTATAGCAGATTTATTCATAATGTTTACAAACTGGAGACAATGTCCACTAACAGGTTAATAATTCTAGTATATTACACGACTATAAAATTTATGAACTAATTCATACATGAATCTATGTGGATGAATCTCAAAAATAGCATGTTGAATGAAAGAAGCCAGGCACAAAAAAGAGTACTACCTGATGATCCCTTTCATGTGAAGTTCAAAACAAAATAGTGAAGTTGCTGGTTATGTCTGAAAAAGGCACAAGGGGACTTTCTGAGGGATCCGATTGAACGAGGGTACACAAGCGTTTAGACACGCAAAATAATTTTCAGATTTGTGATTTTTGATATAATTACACATGTTTTTAAGAATCAGTATAGATTTTAATTGGAAGGAGGGGCATAGGATTTAAATAATGTTTCACTTTCTTAACATGGTAGGAGTATCAATGCTGTTTATTTCATCTTATGTCAGGTTTTTTATACTTTTATGAATTTATTTTGTTTAAATTACAATTTATAAGCATACACTTTTTCATATTTTTATTTACTCCTTTGTATATTTCTCATTTCTAATATTATATACTTTTCTTCTCCTTTTCATTTTCCTTAGTTTATCTCACCAAAATACCTGTTTTATATTTTCCAAAATCCACTTTTGATGTGAACCCAGGCTACTTTAGCTTAATTTTCTCTTTCATTAATTCTACTTCTAAATTTAAGTAATACCTTTAAAAATTTTAAGATTATAATTATTTTTCTGACTTTAATTTTCAGAATTTTTTTTGCTTAAGTATCTGTAGTTATTAATTATGACCCTATACCATCTTCAGCGCATGACTCAAATTTTAGTTTGTAATTTCCTCATTCTTGTCCAACATTTATTATGATTTATGGTTTCTTCTTCAACCCATGAATCATGTGGAAGTGTATTTTTAAATATCCAAATACATTTTTCAGTCTTTTCTTTAGGTTTTAACTTACCTGATTTGTTACCACATAATGAATTTTGTACTATTAGTATTTGATTTTTAATTTTCTTTCCTCTGCCGTGGTCAAATTTGTTGAATGTTCTGTATATTCTTGAGAATAATGTGCATTATTTACTGTGAGACAGAGCTGAATTACAGCTTGACTGGAAAAGCTCTATCTTTATTTCTGGGGATGCCTACAAATCTGAATGTTTCTGACACTTAGCTAAGGCAAGAACAGTGAGAGTTACAACGTAATGTACTGTTTAGGGTTCAAACTCCCCGCTGCCTGCCCCCTCCCCCCCCACACCGCGCCGCCCCGGCCAAGGTTAGCTTCTTTAGTGTTCCCTAACTGCTTTGATGAGGTTGGTGTGGCTACTTAAAGGGTCACTGAAAGCTTTTTAAGGAGTTCTCCCAAAGCCAAAATTCCTCCCATAGGTCTTGTTATTTCATGCTAGAGCCTCAGCATGTTCCAGGAGCACAGAGACTGGGTTCACGGGGAGGTCGCTGTGGATGTTTCTTGGATTCCTGATACATATTTGCCTGAATTCTCTTTCTCTTGCAGCACCACGTGCTCTGTCATTAAATAAAAGCCTCATGTGGGATTCTTTGAGGAGTCTAGTGAATCCTAACAAACAGCAGAAAGCGGAAAACAAGACATTCACTTGGTTGGGTTCACTTCTCTATATATGCATTGAGTAAAATACTTATTTTTCTTGTTCAAAATGTCTTTATGTTTATGAATACTTTTCATATGAAATGATTTTTCAACCAACATTTGAGAAAACCATTTTAAGATCTATGAAAATGGATCTGAAAATTTCTCCCCCTAATGCCATCAGTTTTTATATGTGCTGAGGGCATCTTACTAAATTCATACAAATTTAGAATTGTTACATGTTCCTAGTGAACTGAATATTTTATTAAGTAATGATGCTTATCCCTCATAATGTATGTGTGTGTATGTATATGTGTACTAAATGCTGGGGTCTTTTTCATTATCCATTATCATGGATACTAACGTTTCCTGTTGGTTAGCATTTTCTCAATATATGTTATACTCTCCTAAACATTTTAACCTCTCTAGATATTTATGTTTTTGCTATAATAGTTTTCATGAACACACAATCACTGGATTTTTTAGGTGCCATAAAGTGAGACAGTCAGACAGACCACTCAGTCTATACAAGCTGCCTTAGTGTCTAATAGTTTTTCAGTTGGCAATTCAACATTCCTTTCAGACCTTGCTTCTGCGGTTCCAATCCTTGGATTCCTATCAGATCCCTGTGGGTCTTTACATCAACACTTCTCCTTTTCTTTTTTTGGAGGAAGACTAGCCCTGAGCTAACTCCTGCCAGTCCTCCTCTTTTTGCTGAGGAAGCCTGGCCCTGAGCTAACATCCGTGCCCATCTTCCTCTACTTTATACGTGGGACGCCTGCCACAGCATGGTGTGCCAAGTGGTGCCATGTCCGCACCCGGGATCCGGCTGGCGAACCCGGGCCACTGAGAAGCGGAACGTGTGCACCTAACTGCTGAGCCACTGGCCAGCCCCCACTTCTTCCTTCTTGAAAACAAAGTTTCCTAACCCAAACTGCTAATTCATATAAAAGGAGAAGTCAAAATCACTAAGAAATTAACAAGAAAAAAAATGATTCAAATAGTCTATATAAAGCCATATCTTGTTAAGACAATCAAAAACTACCTGTTGAAAGTGAATCATTCATTACCACGCTCACAAGAGTGAGAAGAGAAGACTGGACCAAGTGTGGAGAGGCCTCAAGAAGATATGAATCATTACTCTTGGTTATGGGAGTCAAAATCAATGCAACTTTTCTGGTAGACATTTTGCAATATTTACCAAAAATTTTTAAAATGGCTTGCCTGTTGAGCTTATTGAGATGACCATCCAAGAAGGCTTATGAAACTATCTGCATGCGGAAAAGTTGATAAACTATATGATGCTATACCCATATAATGAGATATCACGCAGTTATGAAAAATAATGGGAGCTATATTTCTTATTATAAATGTAAGTTCTAACTTTATAAATAAATGAAAAGGCCAATTATAACTCATATATTATCATTAAAAAAAGTGTGTGTATGCACGTCTCTAAAATTTCATTTAGTTCAAATTTACTACCTTTTAAAAATGATGTGGATGGACAAACACTTTCCTAACAACTCTCTGTGCTATCTGGATTTAATTTTACAATGTACATGTGTTATTATTTTAATCAGGCTAAAAATAACATCACTTCCATTTTTACAAAGATTTACATATGCATATATATGTAAATATAGGCAAGAAGATAGTCTTTATATATAGTGTTATTTGAAAATCCTATTACAAGATAAATATTAGTATGACCTTACTTACATAGAACAGATATTTAAAGGTACATATTTTCTAGAAAAAAGTCCAGTAGACTGTATAAGTTATTTTCTGTGATAGGAGTTTGGGGCGTTTTTTCTTGAGTCTGCATTTTAAAATAGTTTCATAATGTTCATATGTTACTTGAGATATTAAAAAAATTCAAAACACTTGCTGTCGTTCAGACAAAACAGTTCTTTAACACAGTAATTAGAACACAAAATTTCAAAGAGGACTAGGCACGAATGGCTTTGGGTCATGTAGTCTAATAATAATAAAACACTCATTTAAAAAAAAGTGATTTCTTAATTACATGGTTTCCTGAAACAGCGTCATCACTGCTGTTTGTCCCAATCTTCCATGGCACGGTAATTTGTATAAGTGGTGTTTCAGAATCTGCAGTAAGGAAAACATGCGTGAGCATCCTCAGTGCATGGCAGCATCCTTGGTCCTCACTTGTCCTCTCATATCACATCACTCTTGGAACTTTCAAGCCCCAACACACACACACACACAGACCACAAAATCATACTTTGTAGGATTCCAGGAAGAGCCTCCTCTAGAGGTGGCAGTATTACCCCAAGACCCTCCAGAGACACCATGGGGCTTGTTGACCTCAGCCCTGAGTGGGTGAAGAAGGCTGGCCTCAGGACCCTATCCAGGCTCTCTCCTTTCCCACCTCCCCAGGAGATGGGTGCCCTGTCCTGCAAGCGCAGGGTCAGGTAAGTGAGGGACAGCTGTCCCAGTCCTGCTCTGAACCCTCCAAACACCAGGCCCGGCAGGACCCTGAAACTAGGCGGGCTCTGACAGGACACTGGGCTCTCCCCAGCCTGGCCTGGGGTTTCGGAGTAAGGAGGGCGACGCCCGCCACTCAAAGGGGCTCTGAGACAGGCGGTCCTCCTAGCATCAGGGTCCTTCACTTACCATGAACCGCGGTGGTCAAGCGGCCCAGGCCTGAGAGGATCAGGAAGAGAGACAGCATTGTGTGGCCTGCCAGCCTGGCCGCAGCGATAGCGGTTGGCTGTTCGCGCGCTGGGGAGGCGGCTGGAGGGAAAGGGCGGTGGGGGTGGGGGGCCGGGGGCCCACCTCTGCGGACTGGACGCCCGGTTGCAGCCCCAGGGGCGCCCAATCACGGCCCTCTGCACACGGGAAGCACACTGGAGCCTGCGCTTCTGGCCACGTGGGCTTTATTCTCCAAAAATTTGACTTTCTAAACATATCCTGGGTAACATAAGGGTTATAAAGAACCCTTTCTCCTCTGGAAACAGACCACTTGTTGGTGAAGTTCCTGGCAGTGTTAATAGTGCACCTGACAGCTTTCCAGTACAATGGCTGAATTACTGTAGCGAAAGAAAAAAACGGAAAGTCACAGTATGTTTAGCAGCAGACAGTTGCCTGTTTTATCCATATCTACTGCCGAATTTCTCTTTTAAGTTTCAGGTCAAATATACATATACACATACACAAATACACATAGATGCACACTCGTAGATAATGTAAAAAAGAAAAAAAATCTAAAGCAATTCTATTGTAGTTAAGTTTCTTAGAAAACTCTTTGATTAAGGAAATTAAATAAAAACCTAAACATGAAGTGTATGTATGTATGTGTTTTAATCCCTTAGTATGGATTAACAGTCTGAGTATCAGGTCAAAAAAAAAAATCACAACTATGAAGTGAGCCTGTAAAAACCCCTTTATTTTCCCATTGTTTGTATATTCCATCGTGTATAATTTGACTTCTTAGAAAAATCTGTGGCTAAGGAGACCAAATAAAATCTTCCCCCCTCAACATAGAGTTCACACATGGAAAGGCAATGGAATTAACCTGGAAGGAACTTTCATTTTATGGCTTAATATGCAGGTTGGTGACTGGCATAATTTCAGTTTTGCAAGAATTTTTTACCAGACAATTCTTAAGTTGTCCGTCCACTGAATACTTGTGCTTGCATTCATTACATGCTCTATTTATACACAAAATCAAATAATGATTTTTTCTCAACTTGTAAAGGGAAACAGAAAAATGGATAAAGCTAGACTATTTTGAAAAAAATTCTTTTTTTCATGCTTTTCCTAAATCACTTCAGTGCATATTTATCAAGAAAATATTTGACCTAACAGTTATTTGCAAACCATATATCAAATAAGGGGTTAATATCCAAAATATACAAAGAACTCATAAAGCTCAACAACAAAAAAAACAACAACCCAATTAAAAAATGACAAAAGATCTGAACAGAGATTTCTCCAAAGAAGATATATGGATGGCCAACAGGCATATGAAAAGATGCTCAACATCATTAGCTATCAGGGAAATGCAAATCAAAACTACAATGAGGTATCACCTCACTCCAGTCAGAATGGCTATAATTAACAAGACAGGAAACAACAAATGTTGGAGAGGATGTGGAGAGAAGGGAACTCCTGTATACTGCTGGTGGGAGTGCAAACAGGTGCAGCCACTATGGAAAGCAGTATGGAGTATCCTCAGAAAATTAAGAATACATCTACCATATGATCCAGCTATCCCTCTGCTGGGTATTTATCCAAAGAACTTGAAAACACAAGGGCATAAAGATACTTGCACCCCTGTGTTCATTGCGGCATTATACACCATAGCCAAGACTTGGAAGCAACCTAAGTGCCCATCAAGGGACGAATGGATAAAGAAGATGTGGTATTTATACACAATGCACTACTACTCAGCCATAAGAAATGATGAAATCCAGCTATTTGTGACAACATGGGTGGACCTTGAGGGTATTATGATGAGTGAAATAAGTCAGAGGGAGAAAGTCAAATACAATATGATCTCACTTATGAGTAGAAGATAAAAACAGTGACAAACAAACACATAGCAACGGAGAATGAATTGGTGGTTACCATGAGGGAAGGGGGGAGGGCAAAAGGGGTGATTAGGCTCACATGTGAGGGGATGGACTATAATTAGTTTTCGGGTGGTGAACATGATGTAAGCGACACAGAATTCAAAATATATTATGATGTACACCCAAAAGCTATATAGTGTTATAACCCAATGTTACTGCAACTAAAAATAAATAAGTAAAATTGAAAAAAAAAGAAAATATTTGTACGAGTAACACATGACAATTAACAGAGGAAATTTAACTTCAAAATAGCCAATTCTGCATATTTCACTAAGATATTTATAGCTTCTTTGGTTTTATTATGATGTGTTGTATACCATATTAATTTAATTTATTTGAATATTTCTATATACTGTATATAAAATACTATAAACAGTATTTTTTATTTTTTTGCCAAATTATATGAAAATTGATAGAATTTAATATATTAGGATTTATTATGTCACTCTTAATGTAAAGTGCCTTCTGGATTGTCTACAACTTGATCAAATTTTTGAAATTTAATTTACGTCACTGAAGGCATGATAATTGTTAAAAGATTGTTCATGGTTCTACTAAAAATCTCTGTTATTCAGTCAAGTAACTAAAAGTGGAATTATGTATTTATTATTTACATTTATTATGGTATTTGCATGATTGGTCTTGACCCTCATTTTTTAATGGGCATGACTTGCAGGCATTCAGATTATTTGTATTTAATTCAACAGTTAATTTTTACATGCTTACTACAAGCTGGGAACTAGGCAGATAAAATATGTATTACACCATCCCTGTTTCCAACTACGTTAGAAACTAACAGAAAACTTGACGTGTAAAAAAGATGCCACAGCTAGAAACAAAAAACTTTGTTAGAGGGATATTCAAAGCTTTCTAAGATACAGCTAAGATAATTTTATTTTCTCTTCAGATATCAAATGAAGCTAAGGAGTGGATATGACATTTGAGATCTGAGCCATATTTGGATCAGTGAATGACTTCTATGGATGTTAGTGCATTTTAGGACTTTATTCTTAAATAATTTTAAATCATTCAAAAATTTTGGTGCAAAGGAATGATGAATTTCCGTGTTAGAATGGTAACTTGTAACAGTCTGGGAGTGGTGGGATTGAGATAATGAAGACTGGAAGCAATAAGTTCATTGAGGGGAATTTTCCACAGTTTAGGCCAAAAATGTCTACATCTTCAGGATTAGATAATGAGAAGAAAAATAAAAGTAGGAAAGATATCAGAGGGACACTTAGGAATAAAGATAAGTTTGAATAAATTGATATGGAGGTTGATGAAATTGTTAAGATGACTAAGCAACTGTAATGATGGGGACACCGATTCTAGGAGAAGCAGATTTATCTAGGGAGTGGGAAATAACGAGTTCAGTGAAAGATATGCTGAACTGGAGGTGCTTGGGGAACAACAGGGATCGGTAACGGATGAGTGGTTGGAAATATGAGTTTTGCGCACCAGAGTTTGAGTTGAAATATATAGGTTTGTGAACACATAAAAAGGGAACTGAAGGAAAAAGAGTGAATGAGATCATCTAAGAGAAACATATAGAAAGGAAACAAAGATCCAAAGTAGAATTGTGGGCAATACAACAGGTGATTCGGGGATTAAGAGAAAAGAATTCAGATACGAAATGAAACTAATAAAAATTAAGATCAGTAAGGAATTAGAAGACAGTGATATTATGGTGACTAAAGATAAAATACAATAGAATTTCGAAGTGGAATATTAGTCAACAACTTCAAATGCTACTCAAAGATCAACTAGCATGAGAACTGAGAAAGTGATTATTGTATTGGTGGTAATGAATCCACAATGAGCAACCGCGTTGTGTTCTCCAGGAAGCAGATGCTGATGAAGAGTTAGAGAGCAAGAAGTTTTTTAGGAAGTAACATCTGTGAAAGAAAGAGGGAAGCAGAATTGCATAAAGAGAGCCAAGGACCATAATAAAGACCTAACAAAGTTTCTGCCAACCCAGAAAGGGTGCTCCAGAGCAAGGCAGCACCAGAGCAACAATTGTTCATTAAAGGAGACGAAGCTTAGGCCTTCATAACGCTGGCTTGCTCAGTAACTGAACTAAGTACTGCCAAAAGGTCATATACTTGGCTCAAAAGCTGAGATAGACCTTAAAGTAGCTAAGAATTTGAGGCTGTCAGCTAGCCACACTCCTCCCTTGGGTAGCAGTACCTTTCTTGAAGGGGGATCTGAGTGGTGCAGTTTTCTGTTAGCCAAACAGAACTTTCTAGAGGCTGGCGGAACAGCAGGGACAGAAGCTGTCATGCAAAAATTAGGAAGGAAAGTGAGGTGAAGTGATGCAGCTATTAGAAGAGGTGGCCTACATTTTCAGCAAGGCCAAAGAAAGGTCAAGTTAGGAAGGAAGAAACTTAGCAATGGTGAAGGCGGACGAGAAGGAATGAGGAGAAAACTAAATATGAAAGTAAAAAGAAAATTAAATCACCCTTTGAAAGGACATGATTAAAACATGAAACTAATAATCTATTACCTTTTTTTAAAATTAAAGAAGAGAGAACTATTATGCCAAAAGATTTAAGATTTAGATAAAACTAGCAGTCCAAATGTTAAGAGGCCTTGTCTACTGTGGGACACAGAATGTAGTAAAGATAGTAATATTTTCTTAATTAGAATGCAAGCTGCATAGGGCAGGGATATCTTTACTATTTTTTTTTATTTTCTGTTTTTCTTGCTATGCCTAAAACAATGTCTAGCATATAGTAAGTACCCTAAATAGCCAGAGCAATCCTGAGAAAGCAGAACAAAGCTGGAGGCATAGCATTCCCTGATTTCAAGCTATTTTACAAAGCAATAGTAATCAAAATGTGTGGGATTAGCAGAAAAACATACATGGACCAATGGAGCAGAAAAGAGAGTCTAGAAATAAACCCATACATATATGGTCAGTTAATTTATGGCAAAGGAGTCAAAAATATACAATGGGAAAAAGACAGTCTTTCCAACAAATGATGTTGGGAAAACTGGACAGCAACTTGCAAAAGAATAAAACTGGGCGACTATTTTACACCATACACAAAAATTAACTCAAAATGGATTAAAGACTTGAACAAAAGACCTCAAACGATTAAACTCCTAGGAGAAAACTTAAGTGGTAGCCTCCTTGACATGGGGCCCGGTGAAGACTTTTTGGATTTGACACCAG